GGAAGTGTAGATCAGACTAAATCTCTCCTGTTTTATGTCAGTTAGAAATATCAGTCATTTCTATTTGTTAAATTCCAGAATAATGAGTGAAATCTTTTGGAGACTTTTATTGCTTTCTTCAGTAATACAAGTTTTCAGATTTTTTTTTGTGTTATGAGGCATTGCCTTTAAACTGTATAACTTGGGTCAAATTTTTTGCSTATCCAYTTTGTTGGAATTTTGTCCCAATTCRCCTGACAAAACAGGTCAGGTTTGCTGGCCACCTCGCTGACCTTTTTACCTCTGTCCACAAATAAGATCAGGGTTTTGTAATGGTATTCCCAGGCTTGCAAACCCCACTCTCTCTTCCCTCCAGATGTATCAATAATCATTGTTAACTATGCTGGGGTCCGACCCCTTTGACCATTATTTAACACAGAATCAAAAGCAAACCGGTAATTTCTTCTCTTGTTGAGCCAGCCTTTTCAAGGAGATCCAGACCTGCAGTATGGGGGACCAAAACTGTCATAATTAGAAATAAAAGCAGAAATTTATAAATGGACCAATAAATAAATAAATACTTATYAATAAATACTAAGGTGCACCTGATTACAAGGTACAATAGGTTATATCAATGCCAATCAATATCAGTTTTCATACTTCAGGCGCACTGGATTATAAGGRGCACATTAAGTGAAACAAAACTGTCTGGTAAGTCAAACTTTATTCAACTCAGTCACATTAACTCTGAACAGTTGTGACACAAACTCTAAACAGTTGTAACACATAAAATACAAAACAAAACACTCACTTTTTCAGTCCATTCTTCTTCCACAAATCCCTCAAATTTTTCATCTTCAGTGTCCGAGTTAAAGTGTTGGGCGATTTCAACCTCAAGCATGCCCAGATCCCTCTCGTCAGTGGCGGCTGGTGGARTTTTCTCCAGGTGGGGCTACAACTCCAAAATAMACGTATRTCAGAAAGCAATCCAACGTACTAAGTTGTAWCACYACAGTGTATTTATTAAACAAATGAAATAATAAAACAGCATTACAATGTMATGRATTGTGTTATTTTTGTACATAAYTTTTGCTCTTCTGTTACTGAGAAGCAAATTTCTTCATGACTCTGGTCAAAGTCAGGGATGTTTTAACAAGATTCTTCTCCATAGAGAGCATGGTCAGTGAAGTGAGATGTGATGTTGTACCTGAGGAAAGCCCGGATTCTCTTCAGTGTTGAGAAGCTCCTCTCAGATTCAGCTGTGGTCAGAGGAGTTGTGATGAGAATCTTCAGCAGAGTCAGTCTCTGAAGGTGTCCTGCAGATTGTTCCTCATGAAGAGCTCTGTTCAGCATTGGGGAGCCTCCATGGTCTTCAGAGCTGCTTCAGAAAATTGTCCGTGATCCTGCAGGAACCTGTCTGCCTGCAGCACAGTAGCTCTGATCAGATGCATGTGAATGGCTCAAGATGATGTCACAAACCTAAAACAATAAATGCACAAATTTAATTCAATACGGAGATGGCTACAAGTGAGCTTTCTAAAATGTATTTAATATGAAAACAATCAATGTTATTTTAATAGCAACAAATTGTTGCAGCTCTAAGGTAAACTATTACAT